CTGCTGCTTGATACAAATATTAACATCAAACAGGTAAATGATTTAAAAAGAACTGATTTATGATACTTTTTAAAAGAATATGAAAAAATTTAATTATCATCTAATATATATAAATAATTGAACAACTTTTCTTAAAACTGTAGATATATTTAAAACCTTAATTCAAGCTTTACACTGTAAACAGTGATCATTTTATTGTGAGGAAAAAGATAAATAATAAAGTATGTATGTCTAACACAACACCTTTTCTTAAAACTGTAGATATATTTAAAACCTTAATTCAACCTTTACATTGTAAACAGTGATCATTTTATTGTGAGGAAAAAGATAAATAATAAAGTATGTATGTCTAACACAACTCTGTAAAATGAAATTGCCACTTTAAATATATTTTACTCTTTAAATTTATTAAAGTTTATTTAAATCAGTGACTATTGTTTTAGCAAATAAAACTAATCTACATTTATTTATTTATTATTTTATTATATTTCAGCAGCTCTTAAACAAGTGTGGAAATTAACATGTTAGCAGTTAAACACAGATAGAAGCTAATGTTAGCATGTTAGCAGCTACTGTTATATAGAAGCTAATGTTAGCATGTTAGCAGCTACAATTAGACAGAAGCTAAAGTTAGCATGTTAGCGGAGACTGACAAAAGCTAACATTTCAGCACATTTAACGATTTGAATGAACTCACGGCTGAAATGGTTCAAACACGCGACGTCGATGATTTTACCCCGAAACTTCATTTTAAAYCTGAGGAAGTTTAATTTAAATTAACTAGTTTAACTCCGCGGGTTTTCCTTCCGGAAAGAGTTTGTTTGGTCCGTCTTCAAAAACGGTCCGGCGGAAACACAAACACCAGCTTCTGTCATTTTAGTAAATACTTTTGCAAAGGAAATAAATAAATACTTSTACACAGTTACAGCAGTAATATATATTTAATGTTTAATGATTTGTAGGTCAGAGTTTAGAAACAGAGAAAAAACTCTGAACATGTTTAGAAGAAGAAAATGAACCGTGAAAAAGGAAACAGGTTTATTTGCTGCTTTAGTTTATAAAATGAGCCGTTTAAAATGTTAATGTCTATTTTTGAGAATTTATTAGTTAATCTTACATTTTTATCTTTTGATTATTTTGGTCCTTTAAAAMGTAATCTCTCTAAAGCATTCTTCTGAAACAAAAGCTGAATTCTTCAATAAGCTCCTTACAGATTTGGAGCAAAGTTTGTTTAAATGTTTCTTCCACCTCAGAGCCCAGAGCTGATGAAGTCCTTTTGACTTTAACCTTTACACAATTTAAATTAATCTGTGATCAAACTTCCTGTCTGCAGCCTTTAAACAGCAGCTGTGGGTCAGATGAGGACAGAAATCCTCACTGAAGCTGTTTATTGTTGAAAAACTCAGACTTTTTRTGAGCTTGTTGACATTATTTCATAAAGTTCATAAAGAGGCTCAAAAATCTGGATTTTAAACACAAAARGTAAATTTACTCTGCAGGTTTATGAACCTCTCAGTTTGTTCAAAATAATCAATCAGCTTCAACTGGAAAAGTTTTATTACAGAAAAACTTTATAAACTGAGACTTTTATACTGAAAGTTTCACATGAAACTAGTTTTTACTCTTTTTTTCTCATAAAGTTAATTAATATTTTTGATTAATTGCATTTTTAGCTCATAAAACAAAACATCTGTTAAATAAAAAGATGACAGTAAAAGAAAATATTTTCCTAAACTCGTAAAATTTGTTGTTTTTATCTGTTGTGTGAGAAAAAAATCTATTTTTGTTAAAATCCTGTTTGACATAAATATGCAGATTATTTTCATCTGTTCCTGCTGGGGGCGGGGCTTCTTATGGACCAATCACAGGCTGCTGTAGTTCTTAAAGGTTCTGTTAGGGATCAGACAATGACCAGTCAGACAGGTGCTGGTCCAGCTGTAGGAGCAGGACCAGGACCAGGACCAGGACCAGCATGGCTCCTCTGTCCTTCCAGTCTGGAGTGAATTACGCCAAAACTTTTCTTCCAGAAACCCTGATGAGGTGAGATCAAAGAGAAACTCTTGAACCCTAAAACTGGACCGTCTTTTAAAGTTCCTGTTTAGTTGAGTKAAAAAGAGTCAGGACCTCCAGACCTCAGTGGTCCTGTGAGGCAGCAGAACTCCTCTGGTTCTGGAGCCCCTCTAACAACCTGAGACAAAGCCTTGACCCAACAGGACCCCCTGATCCGGGTCACGAGGCGCTGGCTCAGTCAGACCTGTGACCTCAGCAGACTCAGACTCAKGAGAACCTCTGGTGGTTTTTAGTGGACCAGTTCTTGTGAAAAGAACCATCTGGTTCATAGAACCCGTCCCGTCTAAMCCTGGTGTCCCCACTTCCTGTCAGGTCAGTGTGGGAGGTCCAGACCACCATCTCCCGCCACATCCTGGCCTCTCCTCATCCTCGCTGCTACCGGGTCTGCAGCCAGAGCCGGCGGCGGCGCCGGACCCTGGTGGCCTCTTCTCTGGACGAGCTTCTGGAGCAGGTGAGGTCCCACCTGAGACCACTCAGATCATTCAGGTCTTCTGTCTCATGGTGGTCCTTCTCAGGTGRCGAGGGTCTTCATGATGTCCACCTGCGACCCCCTGACCCTGGTCCTGGAGGAGGACGGGACTCTGGTGGACTCMGAGGAGTTCTTCCAGTCTCTGCCTGGGACCACCCAGCTGATGGTTCTGGACCGGGGGGAGATGTGGACTGAGAGTAAGGTGGGAGTCCTCCAGAGATAAAGCATCTTAGAAAATAAAAACTGCAATATTAGGGTCCTCCAGCAGGAGGCAGTAAACACACAAACTGTTTCCTGTTTGTTTCCTGATTGTTTCCTGTTTGTTTCCTG